AGTCGTGCCCGTACACAAACTTGTGTTTATCATTCAAGAGCAGATGAATATACTTCATTTCTAATGGTATGGGAGGGGTAAGAATTCTTAGGCTAGGCAGAGGGAAAAAGAAATAGTACCCCCCTGCCAAAAAAAAAAAAAGACTTTCACACAAGTCACTGACCTGATACGGGGTGAGTACTTGATTCGGAGAGCGCTCCTGTGGCACGTATCTGCTTGAGACCTTGGTCCATCTATTCCTCTTTAGGTGAACTTAACTCAAGAGGGCAAACCAGGGTCCTGGGCTTACCTCAGCCTGCAGTCAGGCTCCAAGCGTTAATGGGAGCTGCTGTGTGCCACGTACTCGTGGGCCCGGGAGATAGAGCAGAAAACGGTGCACAGGGCCACTACTCCCAGGACATGAGCCCCAGTGGGGAATTGTAGACAGTAGTCACTAGGCTAAATACATCCTTTCAGGTACTGACACTTTTCGGACACGAGAAGGGCTATGAAAAAGATAGAAGAATGAGAGTGAGGGGACTGGTGGGGGCCTGTTGAAGCAAGGGTATCTGGGCAGAGCATCTCTGAGGAGGTGACATTTGAACTGAGACCTGGATGACAAGAAGGAGATGGTCGTGTGAAGGGGGAGCACCGCAGGCAGACGGTGTGAGAGGGAAGGAGTGGGCATGTCCAGAGTGTGCTGAGCAGGGAGAAGGTGCAAGGAGATGACGTAGGAGACGTAGGCAGGGATGAGCTCCTGTAGAGTCTTGTAGCCTGGGCAAGGAGATTGGGTTTTACTTGGAGTGTCTTAGGAAGGCACTGAGACTGCCCTCCCCGCCCTCCCCCCACCGCCCTCCCTCCTCCCCTCCCCACCCCTGGGGAATGATAAGATCTGATTTGTGCTTTTACAAAGATCACTTTGAATCCTTGGTCAGGGATGGACCCAGGGGCTGGATCCTGGGGAGGCTGTTGTTGTAGTTCAGGCCAGAGATGACAGTGGCTCAGATTGCAGATGAGAGTTAGAGCAGTGGAGACAGACAGACGTGGTGAAATCCACTCATTCAGCACGTGTATGATGGGTCTGTCATGCACCTAGGACTGTTCTAGGCACTGGGGAGAGAGGTAGATAGATAGGTAGATAGGTGCCTGCCGTGGAATTGACTCTGACTCATGGTGACCCCATGTACATCAGAATGAAATGTTGCCCGGTCCTGCGTCATCCTCAGGCTGTTGTGCCAGTCCATCTCTCCGAGGGTCTCCCTCGCCAGCCCTTTACTTCACCAAACATGATATGCTTTTCCAGCGATTGATCCCTCCTGATGACACGTCCAAAGCAAGAGGGTAGGACATTGTTCTGTTGTGATCCATAAGGCTTTCATTGACTAATATTTGGAAGTAGATCACCAGGCCTTTCTTCCTAGTCTGGAAGCTCCACTGAACCTGTCATCCATGGGTGACCCTGCTGGTATTTGAAATACCATGGGCGTAGCTTCCAGCATCACAGCAACATACAAGCCACCACAGTACAAGCTGACAGGCAAGTGGTAGGGGGTATATGTAGTAGTGAACTAAATGAAAATAATTCTCTGTCCTCATGGCACTGAGATTGTGATGGGAGAGATAAGAGCAGGAAGAAAGGCAGATCTAGGTCTTGAGGAGGGTGTATGTGTACTGGGAGAGAAGTAAATGGGGTAAAGAAGTGGGGCATGAGTATGTGAAGATCAACAAAGATTCCTAAAGACTTGGGGGCTGGAGCCAAGAGGACTTGTTGCTGGATTGGATGTGTGTGGTGTGAAAGAGAAAAATCAAGAATGACTCTTAAATTGTTGGCATGAGTAATTCAGAGAATGGGAGTACCATTTACCAAGATATGGAAGCTTGGGAGGAAGAAGTTTTGGGGAAGAGAATGCATTATTAGAAACTTAAGTAGAATAGGCAGATGGACATACAACATCACAGTACAGAGGATCTGGGCCAATGATGTGTACTTGAGAACCATCCAGTGTGCAGGTGGCACAGGAAGCCATGAGTCTGGGTGAGGTCATGGAGGGTGAGGAGAAGGCTGAGGACAGCCACCAACATTAGAGGTCGGGTAGAAGAGGAGGCGTGGTCAGTGGGTGTGTGGAAGCCTAGAGAAGGAGGAGTTGTCAAATAACTGAAAGGGTCAAGTAAGATGAGGACAGGGAGGTGTCACTGGGGACTCTGCTAAGAGTTATTCGGTGTCATAGTGGGGCCAGAAGCTCACTCAGTGGGTGGAGATACCAGGAGGTGAGGATACTGAGAGCCGAGGACTGTTGACAAACCTTGCATGGAGTTTCGCTATGAAAAGACTGGTGTCTGTCGTACATGACCTTATATGAATGCGTTGTCTTCTCCAAATCTATGTCCACACCTTCAAAATGGCAATTATATTACCTAGCTTATCGTTGAGAGCATCTCATGAGGTTAAACAAAATGACACATCAAATGCTTCTGGCACAGCCTCTGTCTGGCACGTGGGTGTCCTCTGAGTGCTGATTTCTCCCATGCTCTATCTCAGAGGCTTCATTTCTCATCAGCAGATGAGGCATTGGACCAAAGGAAGTTTCATATTCTAGGTTCTCAGGCTTTGCCTACTCTTCAGCCCTGGAGCCATCTGCTCTCACTCCCACCCCTGCTGCCTCACTCCCATCCATTCCTGTAACCCCCAGCCAGACTCTCTTCTTTCTCTTGTCTACTCCACTTTGATTCTGCCCTGCACTTGGCCCGCAGATTAATCCCCCTGAAGGACCAGCTTGGGCATCTGTCCCACTCGAGAGCCTTCAGTGAGTCTCATTCCTATGAAATAGAGTCCTCATTCCTGAGCTGGGCACATGTGATCCTCTATGATTTGACCTCTAGCAGACTCCTTTCCTGTGCTCTTCTCTGTGTTCCTGAACCATCAGATTTGCTGTTCCTTGAGTTTATTTTCTTCCGCCTTGTCTCTGGCCTCTGGAACATTCTACCCAGTTTTAAATTCCACCTATCCTTTAAGAGCCAGTTCGTGTGCAGAGCTTCCCTTGGCACTAACAGAAAGGACCTTTACCCTGCACAAAGCTCTTGTCTGTCTTGCTTAATTTAGTTACACATCTAGAGTGGACTTGCTAGTCCACTAGTGGGTGCACATCACTGACCACCTCCTGCCTCACCTGACACCCGTTTATGATGGGTCTTATCTCTTGGCCCTCATCGCTCGTTTCCTTAGAGCGTGGGGCCCTGCTTCTTGGCATCTCATAGTGTCATACATGTTGGGTGCTTAACCAGTTAGTTAATGAATTACATCAATCAGAAAACCTCACTGTGTCTGAGAAGCTTTAATAGTGAGTCTGGAGATTATTAAATTCTAAGAAATGATAGTAACAAACGGTTTTATGTGTCTGGAAATTTAAAAATAAACAAAATACACCAGTATTATGGCCATTTTATGAAAAACCTTTAAAATCTCAAATGTGTTGGCCCAGTAATTCCATTTTTAGGGAATTATACTCAGAAAATAGTCTTTCATATCTGCTGAGAATGATCACTGAAGCATATTATAGTGTGAAAAACGGGGTAACCTAAATGTCCAACAGTAGGGGATTAGTTTAAAGAAAAGAACTTGGGGTACATGTTCATGCCCTAAAATTATCCCCTTCTTAAGATGATAATATAGAAAGACATTTATTGACTCAGTAAAACGTTCATACTAAGTGGAGGAAATATGTTTGAAAACATACTATTTCATTTCATGTACTTTAAAATATTTGCAGAGAAAGGATGTTGGGTATAGGTAGTGTTAACAGTGATTATCTTTGGATGTTGAGATTATTAATGATTTTTACTATCTTTTTGGTATCTATTGCCTAACATTTCTACAGGAAACATGCCTTTCTCGTTTAATAAAAGTTTATTAAGATTAGAGTTGTATACCTCTTTGATTCATATAAATCACATTTTTAAAAAATCTGTCAAATTAGCCTTTGTATCTTACTGTTAAATTAGCCTTTAATGCAGAGTTGGGGAGAACCCAAGGCTACCTGGTGTATGTCAAATGGTAGCAGAAAACATGGGACGTGTTTCTTTACGTACCCACTTTTCTGGACCCAGTGACTGGTCTCCAGTGTAGACGCGATTGCTTGGTGTCCTTCAGGATGGTTGCAGCAGTAGGTCATTGCTACTTGGCTGCAGAATTTTGACCAGGCATTGGGGACTGGTGCTCTGCAGAAGCAGTGTGAGGTGCAGCCTGGCAGTTGTGGTGTCAGGCAGGCCTGGGCGCCTGCACTGACTCTTCCATGTGCTCCTGTGCAACCCTGGGCGCCATGTTAGTAGACTGGGGACATCATCTCCCATGGTCGATGGGAATGTTACCCAATGTCTGGCCCAGCACAGGCCCTTCACAAGTGACAGCTAACTAATTAGCTGCCCAGTCAGTCAATCTGCAGCCCATACCTAGAGTTAGTCCTCAGTGAAGAATGACATCTAGTTTCTTTAATGATAATATTTGTTGTTGTTGTTACTAGTTGCCGTTGTTATTAGTTGTTACTAGTTGCTGACTCATGGTGACCCCATGTACAACAAAATGAAACATTGCCAGAGCTGCACCACAATCGTTGGTATGCTCAAGTCCATTGCTGCAGCCACTGTGTATTTTGAGTGCCTTCCAACCTAGGGGGCTCATCTTCTAGCACTATATTGGACAGTATTCTGTTGTGCTCCATAGGATTTTCATTGGCAAATTTTAGAAGGTACATCACCAGACCTTTCTTCCTAATCTGATTTAGTCTGGAAGCTCTGCTGACACCTGTCCACCATGGGTGACCCTGCTGGTAGTTGAAATACTGGTGGCATAGCTTCCAGCATCACAGCAACACACAAGCTACCAGAGCGTGACAGACAGATGGGTGGTGGAGTAATAATAATACAGGCTTCTTGAAAATTGGCCATGTTATGGGTTTGAAAATCATTTCAACTATGGTTTCCTTTTAACTGAGACATGTCCCACCTTGCCCTCTTGTCTCCCTCAGTCTGCGGGCCGGGCATTGACATCCGCAATGATTACCAGCAGCTTAGGCGCCTGGAGAACTGCACGGTGATCGAGGGTTACCTGCACATCCTGCTCATCTCCAAGGCAGAGGACTACCGCAGCTACCGCTTCCCCAAGCTCACAGTCATCACCGAGTACTTGCTGCTGTTCCGCGTGGCCGGCCTCGAGAGCCTTGGCGACCTCTTCCCAAACCTCACGGTCATCCGCGGCTGGAAGCTCTTCTACAACTACGCCCTAGTCATCTTCGAGATGACCAACCTCAAGGATATTGGGCTTTATAACCTGAGGAACATTACTCGGGGAGCCATCAGGATTGAAAAAAATGCCGACCTCTGCTACCTCTCCACCGTGGACTGGTCCCTGATCCTGGATGCTGTGTCCAATAACTACATCGTGGGCAACAAACCCCCGAAAGAGTGTGGGGACCTGTGTCCAGGGACGATGGAGGAGAAACCGTTGTGTGAGAAGACCACCATTAACAATGAGTACAACTACCGCTGCTGGACCACCAACCGCTGCCAGAAAAGTAAGAATGGCGCTGACTGCTGCTTTCCTTCTGCTCCTCTTCTTTCCTCCTCTCCCTTGCCCTCCTCCTCTTCTGCATGCCTGTGCTCTGTGGGCGGGGTGTGGTTGTATTGCATTGAGGGCCTGGCACCCCTGCCGTGGGGAGGCTGTTCCCAGCGGGTGCCTTGGCTTTCTTTGTACCTGGGAACTCATCGAATACCAGACAGTGGCATAACTGAAGACCACACGGCTGCTGTCAGACCATGAAACTCGTATAATAACAGTAGTTCACTGCACGGCTGTGCTAGAAACTTGTGGACCTTCAGCTTTGAGTTCCTGATAAGAAAGGTAGCCTTTTGTTCTTGGAAGTCCTTCAGCCTTGGCAGCTGGGGCCTGGTTAGGAAGCAACTCTTTCATCCTTTGCATGACAGGATATTGTTTTGGTATGGCCGGATTTCCTCAGCATGAGTGTACTCGAAATGTGTTTAAATAAAGGAAAAGTAGAGAGCTAATTCATGTCCTGTGAAAGTGGCGGCCTCTGCCCCGCCCTTGGCTTTTAATGACCATGTGGGGACGCTCAGGCATTCTGGTTTACGCTGGAACACCTGTCAGGTGGGAGAGCCTGCACTGGCCTCCAGGTGTCCCAGCACCTTGTTCAGGCTGAGCTTGCATGTAGCTGTGTAGCCGGGTGCATTTGTAAACTCCCAGGCTCTGTTTCCTTACGATTATACCTCTTTAATAAGGGGTTGTGAAAATTGTATGAAATCATTTATGTGAAAGAAGGTTGAAGAGTGCTCACCACCCTTGGGGAAGGTGGTGGTATAGTGAAGCTTCTCCTTAATTACGTGGGAATGTGCTTATTTTTCCCTTCACTATAACCAAACTTGCCTTAATGGGATCAGTATCTGAGAGCCAAGTTCTCTGGTATTAAAATGTGACTCAGGGCCTTTGCCTTATTACTTTCAACCATGTTTAGGTGTCTTGGCCATGAAGGTTCCCTCCCGACTGGAAGTTAGTATGGTAGCTATAAATAGGTATTATTTAACGTTGGCCCAGTTACAGACCTGAGGAACCCGTGTGCTCTAGCTAGTCATAAGGAGCCAAGACATCCCAAATTGGTAGGCTTGCCTGCCCTGTGAAGTGTGTAAGGTAAACAAATGGAAAGGCAGGCCTCACAGCAGCCTTTATTTTAATTCCCCCTCGGCCAGTGCTGAAGCAGGAAAGGGTACTTGCCTTATTCCCCCTGCCTTTCTTCCCTCTGTATCTACCATGTGCTCAGTATGTACCTGAACATTTGATTAGTAAGGGAAGGTGATCTCCCCGGCTGCAACCAGCACTTTGTTGAGCCGAGGATGCAATCAGGCCGTTTCTTAAAATCACTGTTGGCTAGAGGTGGAGGAAGGTACTGTACCAGAGTTGTTTTGATGATTGTAAAGGTTACCCACTGGTTTAGAAAACAACAAAATGTATCTTTAATGTAGTCTTGAAAATAATTTTTTTTTTTTTTTTTTACTTTAAAAGAAAAAACATCAACCATCAAGGGAGGCAGGATGGTGCAGTGGAAAGGTGTTGGATGCGTTGGATGTGGTGATCAGAGGACTGGGTGACCGTGGCTGAGTTAGCCCCTCTGCTCTGTGGTTGGACATCTTTACAGTGTTCTGAGGGCAGCCCCATATTATCCCTTAGTGTGAGCCAACATGTGCATGGAAGGGTTTGAAAACTTATCAAAAGTGGGTGCTGTTTAGAAAACCCTGGTGGTGCAGCACTTAAGAGATTGGCAGTTCGAATCCACCAGCTGCTCCTTGGAAACCCTGTGGGGCAGTTCTACTCTGTCCTGTAGGGTTGCTATGAGTTGGAATTGACTCGACGGCAGTGGGTTTGGTTTTGGTTTATAAGTGTAATAGACACCCTGGTTTTCAAAGGCTAAGTATGGATAAAAAAATGCAAAAATAGCTCATTAGTATTTTTATATTGATTGCATGTTGCAATGATAGTATTTTGGATGTATTAGATTAATTTTCACTTAAAAAAACGTTTTTAAAGTGGCTGCTAGAAAATTTTAAATTACAAAAGTAACTTGCATGCTATTTCTGTTGAAGAGCACTGCATTAGATTTTTTGTTCTGAGGCCATTAGTTCATTTTCCTGTCTGACCACTGCAGTGCTGTGATACCCCTGCACGTTAGGTGCCAGGTGCCAGGCATGGAATCCAGTCAGAACGTCTACCTTGAGTTCAACATAAGCATCGAGGTAGCCGTTGAAAAGGTTACGTACAGAAGAATCCTGTGCAGGTATTCTTCAGACTGGCTATAGAAGTAGAGAGAACATCTAGAGAGATACTCAAATCAAGGATACACGTGCAATCTTTGACATATTGGAGAAACACTCAATTACGTAGTACCGATACACAGTTCTTTCCTGACACTGTCATTTTAAATCCCCTCTTTTATTTAATGTGACTCTGCAGTGGCAGGTAGCTTAATAGACAGCCGCATTAAGGAAATTGCCACTTCATGGGTTCTCTGCACACTTCTGTATTTCTTAGTTCTTTCTTACAATTTGAGGAGAGATTTTATTTGGACTTAAGTTATTCATAAAACGGGATTGACCCTTAAAAAGTCGCACACAGCTTTTCCGTTCCGTACGAGTGTAGCTGTTTGGTGCCCTTCTGATGTTGACAGGGTTGATTCCACCTCACCTCCTGACCTCCGCTCTTCTGCTTTTCCTGCCCTTTTCCTCCAACCAGTCTTTAATAGCGGATGGTTGCCAGAGCTCTAGGCTTGTTTCTCTTCTCAGTTTTCTTGTTCCCCCAGAACCTCTTATCCACACGTCTCTCCTGCATCAGCTTCCACGTATTCTTTCCAGCCAGACCTCCTTTGGAGCTCTAGGCCCATGTGTCTGTGCATATCCACACTACCTTGGGCATTTCAGTATCTGTGGTGGTCTTCCCTGTCTCCTCACTTCTAACCTCTGGGTGGGTAGCACTCGTTTCCTTAGTTCCTGTGTCAGGAACTTGGGTGGCATTTGAACTCTTCCTTCTCCAGTTGGACACTGAGTCCTTCGCATCCTAAATGTTTCTGCAGTCTGCCCTCCTCGGCTCTGCCCTCCTCGGCTCTGCCTTCTGCCCACTCAGTGACACTGCCTCCTCCCCAGCCGCCCTGCTGAGCCCTGCCCTGCTTCTCCAGCTTGGCCTCAGCAGTCCTCCCAACACCGACCAATATGCCAACCAGTACCCAGTTGCTGTCGAGTTGCTTCCCATTCATGGTGACCCCATGTGTGTCAGAGTACAGCAGTGCTCCATAGGGTTTTCGGTGGCTGATTTGTAGAAGTAGATTGCCAGGCCTTTCTTCCAAGGTGCCTCTGGGACTCGAACCTCCAACCTTTTGGTTAGTAGCTGAGCACAGTAACCATTTACACCTCCCAAGGACTTCTGACCAATATGCTCTCCTACCCGAAGTCCTGCAGTAGGGGCCCTGTAGGTGAGCACCTTGGTACATCATGAAGCTCCTTGGTCTTCTTCCACCCTACCCCATGAGACCTTTGCTCCTGGACTCCGCACCGTGCACCCAGCCTCCTCCTGCATCATCCCAGCCTGCAGTGGTGCTCTTCTGCACTGACCAATACAGTGGTGCTCTTCTGTACTGACCAATTGGCCGCCACTCTCCACTCTCGCCTCGCCCTTCCAGGCTGGGCTCCAGCCTTGCTCTCTACCCTCTCCACCCCAAGGACTTTGTGCCTCCCTGCAGCACCTGGTGGGCATACTTTTTGCATTGCATTGTAAATTCCAGGTGTGTCCTCCACCTCCTGAAGAGCATTGCTGTCACCTCGGGGGTGAGCACAGCACGTACTTTGTGAGGGATTTATTGTTAGGAAGAGATATCCCCCCTGGTGCAGAGAGCACCGTGTAACAGTTCTTGGCGAGCCAGAAGAGTCTGGGATTATGAAATACGGACGTTTCCTGTATCATTTTCATGGTCATCGCTTCTGACAAGCATTGTCACCGAAGCCATTTCCAGCCATTAATTGGCAGAGGTCACCCATGAATGATAGCTGTTTCCTCATCCTGCTATTGTCAAAATGACTGAAGGCCAAAGATTATGGAGAAGTATGAACATTATCCTAAAAGTTGAAGCATGGCCTGTGCAGCTGTTCATTAGCTGGTGTGGAACTGTGTGTTGGAGGCCCACCATGCTGGGGAGAAGACAGAGACGAGTCCATCCTCTTGGGCACCTGTGGGTTTCGCTGGTGCCTGGTGTGTGTTTGCCGTAGGGTTCTCCAGGACTCAATTTCAGGTATAGACAAAAGCCCCCTCTCCCCACCTCCCCAAAAAACAAACAAACAAACAAACAAAAAAAAAAACAAACTCCCAACCACACTGCTAAATTTAGTCTCCAAGTACTTTTTAACCTATCAGGATGAACAGCTTGTGGTCTTCGCAGGTCGCTGTGATTGTGTGCGAGAGGGCCGGGTCTTTGCCAGGAACTCCATGACTGCGACCAGCCTGGCCATGTTGGAGGCCGACTTCGCTGGTGGTGCAGTCTTCTTTCCATGAAAAGGGCCCTGACCAAGAACAGCGGTCCCAGAGTGTGTTGCATTTCATACTGCCCTCCAGATGAGAAACCAGGAAAATAGCAGATGGGAACCTCTGGCTGAGAAGGCAGTAAATGGCTCCCTTTATTGACAAAAGGAAAACATTTTAGTGCTATCTCATTAATGGAACTGAGGACTTCGAATGAAGGCAGGTGGTGTAAAAAAGAAAATCCTACTTTTTTTTTTTTTTAACCTGCAGGTTCTTGTTTTCTTGTTTATCACAAGCTCCTCGCAAGGGCAGTATGGGTGTGTGGAGTGGGATTGTTCCCCTGCCTCAGTTTGCCATAGGTGGGTGACTTGTTAACCAAAAAATCCCGTTGCTGTCAAGTAGATTCCAACTTGTAGCAACCTCATGTGTTACAGAGTAACACTGCCCCATACCGTTTTCTTGGCTATAGTCTTTATGGAAACAGATCTCCAGGACTTTCTTCCA